AATATAAGATGTAAAGGAAAATGGAATGGTATAAATGAATACCAGTTATATGTTATATAAAGCAAAGGAATGTTATCTGTAAATACCTGTTATATAATATTTAGACAATGGAATTATTTATATCAACACCAGTTATATGATATATAGGACAATGGAATGGTATATATAAATACCTGTTAGATGATATATAGGACAATGGAATGGTATATATAAATACCTGTTAGATGATATATAGGACAAGTAAATGGTTTCATTGAGATGAGGACCATTTACATGTTATATTTTAGAGATTCCTTCTTTGATTGTTTTATATTGTAAAGATTGTAAAAATTTACAAATTGTAATTATGGAAAACCATAAATGTGTACAAGTTAATACTGTTAGTCAGTATTATTCAAACATTATAGTTAAAGGGTCTCCACTGAGGATAATATTTTCTTAATTTCTTGACATGATAGGATGGGAGTTATGTTGTTGAGGTGTCATACTATTTGAAGAAGATATATTATTTATCATGTATAAAATTTGTATGCAAAATTTCAGATTATTTGCTCACTTTGTTTTTCCAAAATACTAGTAAGCATTTTAGCTCGACTATTCAATGAATAGCTAATGCTATAATAGTACTTACCGCATTGGCGTCAACTTTAGGTTACTTTTATGTGTGCAAGTTGGTATCTAAAAAACTACTGAATGAAAATTTCAATTGACATTCATGTTATTTAACATGACTAACACAAATCCCATACCTCTGATATTTTTTTCCCTCATATTTATTCCCCTTTTACTACTTAAAAAATCTTGGTTAAGTTTTTACGTATAAGAGTGGATTAGAACTTCACACACACACATAAGAGTAATAGGAAGTTACTGTCCGAGCACATAGATATTTGACAAAATTATTTCCCTTTTTGAAGTTAGAAAATTCTGCATTATCCATCACTGTGGATAGTCAAGCACAATGTCCTGTCAACAGTGTTTAAATGTTTATAGCTAAAGTCCGTCTGAAAATTACACTTCATTAATATCGATTTTCAATTTTATTCCGAGTATATTTCTTTAGTATCATTTTTTCTGTATTGAATATCCCGATTAATCAGTTTTGACTTTTCTATTTTTATTCTTTATTGTTTGACTTTTGGACCTCAGTGGAGCTTCTTTAAGTGAACTTTTTGCTGTTTATGTTAGAATGATAATTTTAAACACTAAGCAAGTATAGATATATCTTGCTGTAAATTTATATGTACTAGTATATACTGTATCTACATAGACAGTATAACATAATTTTTAATCATAACATGTTATACACCATAGATGTAAATATGAATTTTAGCTCGCCTCACCTGTCACAAAGTGACATGGTGAGCTATTGTGATCGCTTTTTGTCCGGCGTCCGTCCGACGTAAATTTTTACTTTAAACGACATCTCCTCATAAACCGCTAAGCCAGTTTCATTAAAACTTCACAAGAATGTTCCTTTGGTAGTCAACTTTAAAAATTCTTCAAAAAATTTAATTCCATACAGAACTCTGGTTGCCATGGCAACCGAAAGAAAAAAACATAAAACATTTTCTTATAGAAATATTGAAAGAGATAGAGCTTAAATATTTGGCATAAAACATTGTCTAGTCAGTGTCTACCAAGTTTGTTCAAATAAATTCCCAGGGGTCAAAAATATGGGAGGGGGGGAGTCATTGATTTTCCTTATACATACCAGTTCTAAGCTGCCCCTTGGGAATATACACAAGTTTTCAGCTGTTCCTCAGGGATATATACCCAGTTCTCAGCTATCCCTTGGGGATATATACCAGTTCTCAGCTGTCCCATGGGGATATATACGAGTTCTCAGCTGCCCCTTGGGGATATATACCAGTTCTCAGCTGTTCCTCAGGGATATATACCCAGTTCTCAGCTGTCCCTTGGGGATATATACCAGTTCTCAGCTGTCCCTTGGGGATATATACCAGTTCTCAGCTGTCCCTTGGGGATATATATCAGTTCTCAGCTGTTCCTCAGGGATATATACCAGTTCTCAGCTGCCCCTTGGGGATATATACCAGTTCTCGGCTGTCCCTTGGTGATATATACCAGTTCTTAGCTTTCCCTTAGGGATATATACCAGTTCTCAGCTGCCCCTTGGTGATATATACCAGTTCTCAGCTGCCCCTTGGGGATATATACCAGTTCACAGGTGTCCCTTAGGGATATATACCACTTCACAGGTGTCCCACGAGGATACAAACAAGTTCTCAGCTACCCCTGGGATAAGTTCTCGGCATAAGTCAGTTCTCAGGGATATATACCTGTTCTTGACTGCCCCTAGGGGGATATATGTATATAGAGATTCTGGGTTACCCCCAGTGTGTGGAATGTATTCCAGTCTTCATCATAAGTCAGTTCTCAGTTGCCCCTCAGGGATATATACAAGTCTCAGCTATACCTGAGGGATATATACCAGCTCTCGGATGCCAATATGCTCTCTCACACAGACAGCCATGTTTTATAAGTTTATATACTATCAGATGTTTATTTTCATAGATAATTTCTGTAACGGTTGAATTAGAATTTTTTAATTAAACAATTTGTCAAATTTTAGTACCAAGATATGGTCATATTATAGGCATGAGTTATATTTCTGCTGATGTCAGCATAATTATGATATGTTAGTTTACATGTATTGTAAAACATATGTTACATGAAATTACCCAAACTGTATGTTGAAATCTTGTTTTTTAAAATGCATCCAGGGTAACCCATGCATACTCGTTGTGTATACACTTCATTTGTGATGAATGTAGTTCAGTCAAATCTGTATGTATGGGTTCGGACGTTTTATGCTTTCAGACAGTAATGATATAACTACATCTTATTAAAGGTATGTCAGCTTTTTTTTGCTTGCTGATGTTTAGTATATACCAAGATTAAGATATGTTATATATAAACATATTTTACACATGTCTGTTTGTTACATGAAATTCTGATTGAATGTATATAGTACATAATATTACATGTTAAAGGAACTCCACTGATAATTCTTGACATGCCGGGACTCGAAATATTTTTTGGAGATTATTACTCCATTTGATGTACATCTATTCTAATAACCTATATGCAAAATTTCAGATCATTAGCTCGCTCCCTTTTTCCAAAATTATTATTATAATAGTGAAAAATGACCCAAAAATGACCATTGTGTTGACATTTTGCTACACTAATCATTTTTTCTTTGCAAACTCATTTTTTTTGCCATGTGATAAGAATATCACATGTTCAATATCTATTATTACAACATTATAAAACACATATTTGCCCTTTTTTACAAAATGAAATAAAATAAAAATATATTCATTTCTGAGGCGTAATGTGCCTTTAAACTTTAAATGTATATGATAGGGTAAATTCATTTATATATTATCATAGTTAACATAATTATGATAACACGAAAATCATGTAATGAATTGTTTACATGAAAATTATGTTATGAATTGTTTACTAGGTATTTGAATTTATGTGTATTTTATGCTTATTTTTGTAACCCTCATGATGTCAAAACTATATTGGCCATGTTTATGCTTAAACAATTCTATATGAAGTTAAGATAAGTTCATGCTGGAATATGTTATGTCAATTGTACATATGCTTATATATTAAACATGACTGTTCATTGAAAACATTATTCAGTATATGTTATTTTGTTAGTATCAATAAAAACATTGTCTAAGCTTTTTGAAACAATGCTATTCACTTGATATGGAACTTTGTTTTTTTATTAGAAATAAATGGTTTTGTTGAAGAATTGAAAGTGTATAAATTCAAGCCTTGGTTGACTTACATTTTGTATGATAATATAAAATATAACTCGTATAATAAATAACAGTATGTATTTTATAAGGTTAAACAATTTAAATTCAGAATGGATACACCAGATCCATCTACATTGAATTTATCCAACAATGGTGACATGTATATCAGTATAGAGAAATGTCAACAAAAAGTAGGCAATATATAAAATTTGATCTGGTCATAGAAGGTTTATGAAGCATTATTATTCTGCTGGTTTTGTTATTATTGAAATACTTTAAATAATAAAATATACCTTTTTGATAGGTTCTGATAGCATGTATGTGTGACTTTTCATAATAAAGAATTGTACAAAATTGATTAGTATATTATTTGTTTTCCCCTCTCTACAGACCTAGTTATGCTCCCCGAAAAATTTCGGGGGAGCATATATTCGGCGCATTGTCCGTCTGTCCGTCCCTCTCTCCATCCGTTGTCTTGTCCGGAGCAAAACTTAAATACCCTTGGAGATAATTTGTTTAAACTTCATACAGTGGTAAAGGGCATTGAGGGGAGTACAGTGTGAAAGAACCATAGCTCTATTTTGCTCGGTTTTTGAATTATCTCCCCTAACTCTAAAACTATAAGAGATATCAACATGAAAAGTTGTAGGTAGATATATCTCAATGGGTTGATATGCAGTGCACAAGAACTTGAACTCTGCCTTGCCAAATTTTGTAGTAATTGCCCTTTGTTCATTTTTACACTTTGAAGTTGTCCCGGACATAACTCGGAAACCATAAGAGATATCATGTAGCTGTGTTTATTTTATGATATTTCGATGTTCACAGACACATAAATACCTTAAAGCATATTATTTAGATATTAATTACTTTATTATAATATTAATAAGTGAGACACTGAAATATTGCACATTATATATTGTCCATTTAAACAAAACATCTTGTTAAGGCGATAAAACAAGAAAATATGCAATACACGGATTGACAAGAGAGACTAATATTGTAATTATATCAATCTACTCAACAGAATTTATTTCTCTTTGATAAATTGAACATTTAGTTTGTCTAAACATAACTCATTTCGGAAAGCTGTCATATTTAGGGGAGACAAATCACAGTGTCATATGAATCCTCTTTACAACGATACTTTCCCTTTAGTCTGTTCATCAAAATTAATATAGATTTGTTAAAGTAAGTTTTAAGTCTCAAATATGGACGGCTGGTATTTCAGATTTCAGGTGGAAATAAAAGATAGGAAACAGTTCCCTGACTGTAACTACAATGTACTGATTTTGTTTTCCTGTCGTCTCATTCTTTTTAGGGGTTAAGTAAGACCTCACAATCGGCTGAAATGACCTTATTGGAAACACTTTTTTGAGCTGAAAATCCTTAAAAATTATATTACAATATGGTGTACCTATAAAAAATATCTTAGTTTGTTAGTGCAGTGAAACCTAAAAAACACAGAACCTCTGAAATTCAAAAATTATGAAATGCGAACAATTTGCAGGGTCCAGAAATTCTATATAATTCATACCACTGAATTTGAAGACTTCTGTAAAGTTGAAATTATTTATATAAAACAATCACCTACCATATCCGGAAATTGAAAAAAGATCTGATTATCATACTTGTGATAACAAAACCTGCAAAATGTTAATATCTTCAAATTAGCTTAGACCATATATCTTGATCCCTATTAGCACCTCAATATGTTAAGCATGTCAAACCCTTGATTTATGTATGGAATCAAGAAACTGAGAAGTATTATAGGGGTAATTGATGCCAGCACTATTAAGTGTTGAAAATTGAGTACCGCTCAAGCCGGTGCTAGGGGCGTCAGTGATGTTGCACTTTACATTATCCCTCATGTACGGACTCCATCAAACCAAGTCTGCAGTTCTGATTAATGCTTTCGAGGGATCACTTTGTTTCAAGATTTATATGCTTCACAACGGCGAGTGTCAATTGCTGTGTGGCAGCTGTAAAAAGTTGCCCCGTTCTTCACTTCAGTGTTGTTATATTTTTTCTGGTCCTTCGGGATCATTGATGCCAGCACTATTAAATGTTGAGAATTAAGTACAGCTCAAACCCGTGCTAGAGGGCGTGAGGGTAGTCTCACATTACATTATCCCTCACCTCATGTACAGACTCAATCAAACCGAGTCTGCGCTTCTCTTTAAATTTTGTTGTGATTAATGCTTCCGATGGATCACTTTGTTTCCAGATTTTTATAAGAATTCCGAAAACTTCCCTCAAATTCTTCAAAGTCCCAAAGGTAAGATCGAAATATATATTAAGAAAAATTTAAAATAAATGTCTAAGAATCAGATAAATATACCATAAATCCTGCCTTAAAAGTTGACTTTGACAGCACACTGAAAAAATATGATCGTTAAACACCGGGAAAAAACTATAAAAGGGCCAAACAGTTGGTAAATGCCTACTTTTCAGTTATACAGAGACCAGTGAAGAGATTAAAAGTTGAATTAAAATCTTAATTATACCCCCACAAACGATGGTTAGGGATATATATCGTAGTCAGCTTGTCGGTCGATCTGTCTCTTTTAATGCACTCAATAGTTTGGACATGTTAACAGATTTGTCCTTTCCCAAAACCTGTGTTTTGTATTTTTAACACAGCTTAACAATACAAAAAACTAGATACATTGTTTTCTTACTCACAATTGGGTAATGTTTTCAAAAATAATTTCACTAACATGTAGATTAAGTTTAGATTAAACATCAAACATATTCCTGCTAAAGATGGAGAAATCGACATTATAGATCTGAGTAGAAGCTATCCTTACTGCAGGTTGTAACAACTAAACAACCATAGCCAGAAGCATAGGTGGTCTTTTGTTGACCAGCGCCCTCAACCTTGGTCTTCTTAGTGATCAGAAGCAGATTTATGCCATGACATACAAGGAAGAGCGAGAACAATATGAAGGTCACTATGTACCCTTCCTTTCCAGTTACTGCCTCTGATTGGCCGTCTCGCCTAGCCAATCGCAACGTTTCTGCCGTTTCATAACTTAACATTAGATATAATCAAGGAAAAATATGCTTTAAAATGATCTGTAAGACGATAATACAAAAACAACAGCTTAAATGTTTTAGTGTGACAAAATTTTATTGTATTTATAGCTTAAATGTAGTTTCGGACGATCAATTAGATCTCCTAAATAATTTCAAATGCGTATTATGTCAATGATGAATAAAATAATTATTGTCTTTACCAGTTTTTCTTCTCAACTCTACTCTTTCAATTTTCATTTTGAAATGTATGGCAAAGTATACATTACAGTGAAAAATATAAGGGGTGTTTAATGTTAACCACGATATTTTGATATAAGATACTTACAAGTAAAGACACTTAAACTAAGTTGACGATATACTATTTGTGTCATATGTCAAATATGTCATTTGTTTTAAATATTTGTTTCACGAAGTATTTTGATTTGTAGAGTTAATATTTAACACATGCTACTTAAAACTGTTAATTTATGCGACATATTACGAGTCCAATTTTCCAACAAGGACACTGCAGACATCATACAGAAGAAAGAACAAGAGAAAAGAAAAGTAGCGAATTTGATATCAGTTATGTCAGTTGCATTATGGTGATATATTAATACATTAGTCACATCAATGTGTTCAATCATGAGAGAAGTCTTTGTATTCCTATACCTGACCGGCTTTGAAACTCCAAGTGGAACAGAAGATTTGTAATAAGATGCGTAGAACAAGGTTAGCTTTTAAAAAAGCTAGTAGCGACTCGCTTCGTAATTTCTCTCAAAGGGTGTGTTTAAATGTTAAAATGACAGTTATGTTAGCTGAAGAGACTTCAGCGAACATCAAAATAAAAGTGACATATAAAGTTATGGAAGCCAGTTCTCTCATTTTAACAAAGAGGAATATGAGTATATATGAAGATGCATGTAAACAGATAGAATGAAGTCCCTATGTCTATGCACATTTACTATATGGCCTGTTGACCTTGACCAGAAAAAAATTAGATAAGTAGAATTCATAAAGATGTCTCTTTATACGAAGTTAAGTTGTAATATGTTATTTAGTATTGGAATGAGTGACAGACACAAGTCCTAAAGTAAACACAAGTTGTCAATCAATTCAGCCAGAAAAGCCGGGATCCTATTAAAAAAATAGGCTATTAAAAATAGGATCCCGGAAATTGACCAGTTCAAGAATATAGTTTTCAGAAAAGCCGGGATCGTATTAAAATATAAAGAGATCCCAGGAATTGGCCAGTTCAAGAATATTGTTTTCAGAAAAGCTGGGATCTTATTAAAACATATAGGGATCCCGGGATTTGACCAATTCAAGAATATAGTCTTTGATTTTTCCAATTAATTAGGCATATAATTATAAGTATTGTGATTTTGTTAATAAATAGCTCTAAATATATCTATATCCTAAGATAAATTAATTTAACGTTCATTACATACAATAAAAAACTTAACGTTTAATGGCCTTTCATTACGACAATAATCAACACAAATATTGTTTATTAGTTTTTTCCTCTATATCTTATACGATCCCGGATCGCGGGCGTCCCGGATCCCGGCCAGTAAATACATACACTAAATACCGGAAAGGATGAAATGACCGGAAAAAAGGAAAAAGAAAAAAATGCACAGAACCAGATGTCGTTTATGTTAATTAACCAAACGAAAACTTACTACAGAGAAAACAGGACTGGTGAAATCGCTAAATCAAAAGTCAGTGTAAATATGATTTATTGAAAAAAATCCATGAAAACAAACATTTTAATCATCATTATATCTTTGCGCTCAAAACAATACTTGCTGCTTTTTAAATATGGCGTGAAAATTGAAGGTTTTTTGACGCTATGTAAGATCAAATTTGATTGGCTAAATAATTTTGGATCCTAGCCCTGATAGATAAATTTTGTAAAAAGCTGGAAGCCAAGCTTCGATTAAATTTTTGGATAGATTCGGAGTTTTAGGTTGTTTCTAAGTAAAATCCTAACGTAATACCGGCTCGCCGTGGCGAGCCGGCACAAGTAGTGGTTTTCATACATGTTTACATATTCATTGTCAACACCACGCACAATTCATGTTATAATAACAAAAATGTTACTTAAAGAAAATATAAAAAAGTTATAAAATTGTTTTATCGTTTTATCGTTCAGAACGTTTGAAAACAA